CAATGGACACATATTGGGCATGCACCAGCAATTTTGCGCTTTTCAACGAAGAGTGGGAGAAATGGGAGCAGGGTGGCACTAAACTTACTTGGTTTACTAGATTGATTTATCTTTATCTGATACCAAACACATGGTACACCCCGGGTCTGCCTTAGATATTCATGTGCCCTGATAATCAGTAAATAATCATGATTTATCTCAAAATTACATGCAGATATCTATAGTAGGAAGGAGTGAAGGCCCAGATCAAAAGTCTAACTTGTCAACTTGCATAAGCCCTACTCCAGTTGATAGTTTATCTTCTGGTAGACTGCCTATCGGAACAGATGTATTTTCAAGAGCCTTCCTTACACTATATGGACTCACAGGAATACCTTCAGCCTGCCAAAAACAATAGATTTTGGGAAGTTACACCCCAAAATAAACATTTGTACAAACAATGTCTAAAGAAAAAAAGACAAAACTACTAATGCATAACAGAAGTACCTTCAATGCACTTATGAGCAAAGCAATTCCTCCACAAGCAGATGGAGATGCCATTGATGTTCCATTCATGAGCATGCGTTGTTGAAGAGTCCATGTAGGAACAGGAGCAACAGCCGCACCAGGAGCACTTATACAGACACCAAGATCTCCATCGGCGGTCGGTCCACGGCTAGACCTGCATATTAAGCATAAATTCTCATGAAACTAGAAGAGCAACCTAAACGAAGTCGAATGCGGGAGCTCACATTTAAAATTGGAAGTCAGAAAATGAAGTTTATATACCAAGTGTACTCAAGCCCTTCACCAGGGGCTTCAACCACACAATGAGCACCAGCAGCCATTGCTGGAGAGACGTATGCACCAACTCCTATAATGCTTGATGTGGTACCACCAGGTGCTCCAACAGTGCTCAGTGCTGGCCCACTATTGCCAGCACTACTCACAAATATTAGACGGTGCTTGTTCACGGCCTAGATTTATAGCATCCATGGATAGAGTTTAGCATATTGAGAGCATAAAAAATAAGAGCAGGAAAAAAAAAAAATTGTAGTCAAATGAGCCAGACACAAATTTAAGAAATCATACTTCATTAACGAGGTCAACAAAGCGCCCATAGTCTGGCAGTAAAGTAGGTTCTCCATAACTCATGTTGATCAAATCACACTTATGCTGCAGAAAACATTATAGAAAGACCATCATTATACTAACCTATACAACGCATTGGATTCCCTATAATGCATGACCACTAGTGGCATAATGCTGAACTCCTAAACAAGACTTGGACAAACTACAACTGCTGATTACCTTAGAGAGATTAGAAAATAATCGAATTTTAAAGTACCTCCACAGCAGCAATCAAGGCTCGAGTCAAACCAGTTCCTGTCTCCATTGAACCTAAGCGCGAGTCTCCAATTTTACAAGATATTAGTTGTGCTCCAGGTGCAACTCCATTCAACAGGGGCTCCTAAGAACAACCACATGTATCATAAGTATGTTATCCTAACATTGAGAAAAAGTGCAGCAAATGGATAAAACCTACACAATAGTACCTTCGGGTGGAAAGCAGTAGCAATACCAGCAACATGAGTGCCATGGGGAGAGCTATCTGTCACAATACTTACGATATTCCCTTCATCATAAACATTAACAACAAATGTACAGGCATCTAATTTGCTAAAAACACCGTATTTTCGTTCTATCCTGCAAGAAAGTTTATTTAAGTCAAAATTCTATAGAACCGATCCATAATCATAACCACCCTATTGGAAAATAAAACACCAAACACAAATAAGTTTGCAATTGAGAAATCAAAAGGGCTTTTCAGATGTAAAATTGTTTGGTCTCACTATACACATTTTATAATCATAAATAATTAAGTATATCTTACTTCTTTGCCTCAACATCATTATACCTTTCTAATGAAATTGCCACTAAACCTAGCCAACCATACCTATAATTAGTTAGGGGCACAAAGTCTGCAAGTTTTCCACAATCTGGGTTATCCTCAAGAGTCTGTGTGTCAAGGGCAACCCTCCATACTTCTCCATTATGCCATACAACAGCATCTATGACAGGGCCTTTGTCATCATAGGTCTAGAAAACAAATTATTACCTTTAAGAGTTGCAGAGGAAATTCAAATTTTAAAAAAATACAAAAGTTAATATTTGGCACTCACATCAGCTTGCTTTTGTAGGTAATCAACTCTATTTTGCAGTTCCTCCCGAGCCCTTTTCGAGTTAGCATCATCCACTTTACTGTGTTTCTGGAAACATGGTAACATAAACAGTTACACATTTAGGAGCAATGCGATGCAAGCATACTCTGGTAATCATATATCAGAGTGAAACAGCTGGAAAGCTTGCGTGTACATTTTCTATAAGAATTGATCAGATTATGGTAAAGTTGATCAGAGATGCTTTACAATGTGAACGTATATACATTTCAAATGATAAACTGTTAGCAGTTTTGAAACCATACCCTTATCTACATAGGTACAATATTAGAAAATGAACTACTTTGAATGAAAATGCAATCCAGGTACACAACATATGCAAAGAGGAAGTGCATAATTTAAGAACCCATGTAGGCAAGAATGCAAAGAGAAAGTGTATATTAAGCTTACTTGAAAAGTGCAATAATAATCTTTTCCAGTTTATTTAACATTTTCAACTGCATTTATGGTGTGCTTATATCAAATTAACAAATGGATCAAATGGGTAATGTGCGCTCTAAGGATCATGCATATGCAAGAAATCAAGAATCAGCATATTCAAAAACCTGGTCAAATTCATGAAGATCCTTAAGAGCCTTGGCAATTTCTTCTTGGTTTTGTTCATCCCATTTTTTTCTTCTTTCTTTCTGTCAATTAAAAAGACGTCAAATTTGATCACTATCATCTGAAGTGATGATGTAAACTATAAATACAATTCCAGTAAACCAATCAATGGATCATAATGTCAATGCTTACCTTCAAGCGAGAAGTCAATGTATCTGTAAACAACTCGTATACCAATTTATAACCCACATGCCATTCACCAGAAGGATTTTTCCATGAGGAGTCGACAACCAGAGATGCTCCTGTATGAAACTTTGCATTAAAACCCAAGCATGGCATTTTTGAAAGCAGTGCTTAGCTCACGATTAGATAGTCAATCAAAAGCATAAACACAGGCTACAAAGCTTAAAGAAAATGCAGGAAATTTTAACGAAAATAAAAGCAGAAGCAATTGCATGCATAAAAGCATCTACAATAAGAAACTAACCGGAAGCTCCACGAATAGAACCGTTTTCATCGGCCTTCACTACCTTTGAAGTATCGACATCACCACTCCCAGTACTGAAAAATTAAAAGAGAAAAGTTGTCAGATTAAATCATAGGTTCTAACAATACCAATTGCATGCTCAAATAAATTAGTTATAGTTACCAATCAAGAACATCTAGGATTTTCGGCTTTCCATCTGATGTAACTTGTAATCCAGAAGCAGCAGGGTCCACTCCAGAATCTGATTCACAGTTTCAGTTCAACAACTTAAGTTCCTCGGCCCAGAAAATCAATCCAATAGTTCTTTTATCTTTTGTCAACTAAATTCATTTTCCTAATTATGCCTAGCACAACAGATTATCTTTCTTTCTTATCAGTTCGTTCTTAACAATTCAACTTTCTTTCTCGTTTTCTCTTCTTGCAAGCAGAAATTAAGCGATTGGACTGAAGAAGATACCGAAGATAGCGATGAGGGCGCCACGGCCATCGTAATTGGGATGAGCCTCGATGAAGCGATCGGCGCCAATCTCTTTCTTCGGCATGAGGGAGGCCAAGAACGTGGACTCGTTCAGTTTGAAATTGGGCAGAGAACCATTAGCCTCACCACCACCTCCACCAGCGCCACCAATTGCAGAACAAGGCATTGCCCTATCTCTACCGATGCTGCTTCTATTCTCTCTCGGTCTTCTTGCTTTGCTGAGCTTTGTGGGCCTAATGATGAGTGAGAGAAATGATGAGTGTAGTGAGAGTCGTGACGTGGGCAAATACGGCAATTTGAATAAAACTACTGGGCATTGCATCCTTTTTGTATATTTTTTGCCAAAAATAAATGAGCAAGGGTGGTTTGGTAATTTAGGACTGCGGTGGCTGCGGTGACACGAGGTGGTGAAGTGCAGCAGTTTTGGGACAGCTGGTGGAAGCCACTTTTATTTCTTTTTTCGTCAAAACAGCTGGTGGAAACCGCGACGGGGTTTTGTTGGATTGGATGTCAGTGGTGGTGAAGTTATCATTTGTCGTGGAAATTACTTGTTTGTCCTTGTAGGGATTGCAAATGATGGGATAGGAGGAGCCTTCGTTTTTCCTTTGTGGGAAATACCAATAAAGTATAATAGTATATGACCAAGACCAAGATATTTAAATTTAAAAAATTAAAAAGCTTATTTGCTCTAGCCAATTTGACTAATCTCATGTACGCAGCTGCATAGGCTAAAATCTCATATTTTTCGGTCTTTCAACTAAGTAGTGCTCAGGACAGAGAGTTTGAGAGATTCCTGTATAGAATAGGAATAGCAACTAGTAAGGTAGAAGGAAAGGAAAAATAAAAACCCTAGCAAGATGACTCTGTTAATTTAACTTAAATAATAGAGAAGAGATATGGGGACGTAGGCTCATTCGGTTTAAAATCTGAAATAGAAAAACACATGTACATGTATATCTTAGGCAGGGGGCAGGGGCAGAGGTAGACACCCTCTCAATGTTATTGAGGCATTTGTTTTCTTAGCACAATTACCAATCTTTTATCAAATTTCAAAGTGCCCTTTTTATGTTTTCCTTATCTCTCTTTTCACTATTATTACTACCCTTCTAAATTGGTCTTATTTTAACTTTAAATTTTATAGTAATAAACTGCAATTAGAATTTCTTAGCGTGTATATTTAACAAAGTACATTTAATTTCAATCAATATATTTTGCTAGTATCAATGATGAGTAGATAGTTAATGTTATATGTCAAATGATAGAGTATAGTAACCAAATTTAGGGATTTTGTATTAACTAAAAAATTGATTCACATGTCATTTCAATATTTGAGGGTGCCCCTCTGTACAAAGTTTATAGCTCCACCACTGCTCGGCGGTGACAATGTTGGACCTAATAGCTCTATGTATCACTGTGTATTGTATTTGTATACTTGTATTCTAGCTTCTTCCTTGTGAACCTTCTAAAGAATTTGGTCTCCTTGAAAATGTTGGACCTAATAGCTTCTCAAATCTTGTACAAGGGCCTGCAAAAATATTTTTTCAGGTCAGATCTATGGAATTAATTATTAAATTTCACAATGGAAAACATTATTACTTGAGTTTATGGTATAAGGTTATGGCAGGTAGTGTCACAAGGATATGGGCAGTCAATTTCCTTTGTTATCCTTCTGCTGAAATACCAATCACCTACTGCTTCTGCAATGGTCTGGCAAAAAGCAAAATCTCAGTTTTTACTTAATTAAGACCTTATGAGCCTACAATACGAAAAATACTTCCTTGCCTCAGATGCATTGTTCCCTTTTTTCTATCTCTCTCCTCTTTTGATAAGTGCCAGGAGGAGAGAGATAGGAAAAAAGGGACAATGCAAGGGGTTTAGGGGAAGTTTTTCTCCTGCTATAACCTTCTGTAAAAGAATAATACTTAATTAAGATCTTAGGAAATTACCTTATTGTGAACTCTTGGAGAATCTGCAGAAAACCATGTGTCTTGAGACTCACTTTGGCAGTGAGCAAAGCATGAATTTATGAACAAGCCTCCTCTTCTCGAATATTTGTAGAACAGTCCCATAGCAACAATCATGTCACGCCTGAATTCTGAAAATTAAGAAAGCAATGATATTTCAGCTGAGCAATTAGGACTTTTGCAAATTTAACAGTAAACAAGTGTAGAGCAGAATTGAAGAACCTTGCAATGTATTTAACTGTTCAGGATTGCACGCCGCCGGATTCAGTTTGCAACGGTTCCAGTGGCCGTGTGGATCAGCTGAAGATGGCACCAATATATGATGGAACTGTGGACATTAACAGCTCTACTAAATATTCAAAATTGAATCAAAAGTTTGCAATGTCACATGAACAAGGCATGGAGAATTTGTACCTGATAAACATCATAAGCTGAGTTCAATATGAAAAATGGTGTTGTAATGAACTTTAGTGCGTACTGTGGGAAGAAACACTGCATCCAAAGAAAGGCAAATGTTAAAACCATGTGATTGCTACGAAAATCTAACAGCTCAACGATGCTACGAAAATCTTACCAACTCGGGAAAATCAAGGGAGCTGGCGGTGCAGTTCTCATCCAGATTCTTCTCTACCCCCTGCCATGCATACTTCCAACATGTGATGTGAATACATATTTTTAAGAAATATACAAATATACAAATAGAGCAAAGATTTGTTTTCTTAGGCATTAGTATTGTTACCTGTAGAGAAACAAGATCTTTAACGAAATACCTCATGGTGTGATTCGAAGTTATGTCTCTTCTGCAGTCCAGAAAGGAAAGAAACGAAACAAAACGCAACATCAAAATTATGCATTAGCTGCAATCTGCTTTGAACTTGGAAAATGGACAAAGCTAACTTACTCATCAAGAAAGAATCCAGCATCACTCAAGCATTTCACACTGGCATTGCTTGGTAAATATTTAGTGAAGTTGTTACAATGCAAAAAGGATGCTAAACCCCCAGCAGAACATCCTGATAACAGAGCCTAGAGCAGAGAAGGAATGTAACAAGTAGTTGAATTCGAATATCTAAGTTTATATCAAATATTTTAGCAACTTGTTTGATCAGGTTTCCTATAAAAATAGAAGAAACTGAGGGGTGGGTTTTATTTATTTATTTACCTTTCGTGCTTGTCCTAAACCTTTTGGCAGAAGATCAAGAATGATAGCTTCCCAAATCTTTTGCCCTCTGAAATAGAGCAACGATGTCTGTAATTCATTTCACCCGTGCATTCAACACATACATGCAAAGAACTGATCAGTTGATTAGGTATAAGAAATCGGCTTTTTCGGTAGATTTCAACAGCATGTTGAGAGATTGTGGATAAAGTGAAGGTTACTTAAGAATGTGGGAAGGAAATATTTGTTGAGAGAGAGAGAGAGAGAGAGAAATACCCCATTCTTAAATACGGCATCTCCAGCAAATGAAGCTCCATCGCAATATCTAAGCTTCACACGGTTCCAGTTGTAAAAATCTGGTTCAAAATCAGAACATAACAATTTCAGAAATGAGTTCACTGCAAGATTATATCTTTTGTTGCATGCATCATCATGTCATGTATGGATCCAGATTATGTTTACAAATTATAAAGCTTTTATCAGGACATGTAATTGATTATAAAATTATTCGAATGATTCAATGGTGGGAGCTCTCAGCTCAAACTAAGTGGATACAGCTAACTATGCCATGAAGCTTTTAGAGTTACTATTCAGACCTTCCAACTGGACACAGGTCAATGTGCACAATAGGACAAAGGCTTATGTGTTGCCATGCCCTTAAACAGTCCAAAGACAACAAGAAATGACAACACTGGAGAAAGGCTGGAAGGTCGGCTGATCAAAAGCTACAAACTGAGAAAATAGCTGTCATCTCTGTAATAATCACGTGAAAGGGACAATAAAGAAAGCGAAGGAACATGGACTGTCTGCCACAGAAACTTCACCGTCCATAGATAGGAGGGGGATTCGAACACAGGACAGGTGCACGGGTAACTACTCTTAACCACTTGGAGAAGCTCCTTCAGACTGATGCTTTCATCCTTTAAATAAAGTGACTTCTTCTTCTTCTTATATTTAAGATCAATTATGAAAGGAATAGTGTTGTAACATGTGAAAATGTGATGACAAATATGGACCACAAAATGAGTCAATTAAATCATGCATTGAGAACATGATGGCGAACCTGGATTTAGAGATGCATTATTGCTTAGAATTCCAGAGAAGACCTCCCACTTGGTCATGTAGCGTGTTGATCCTCTACGGCTTTTGGCTCTCTCCAAGCATGATTCTATGTCATTGCACCACCCACCACCCTGCGTTTAATTCATATGGATATATATATTATCCTTCATGATCATCAATGCAAAACTTCAAGCTTTTCACGACCCCAAACACCAACTAACTTACCTAACTGATTTACAGAATTGAGTTCCTTTAATAATGTGGATCATGAAAGTAACATTGCTTAACCCATAAGCGAAGAAAAACACCAAATAAAGTAGAGGCCCAAATGACCACTTTTGGTACAACCACTCAACTCAATAACAATAACATTCCCCTATAATTTTTAAAAAGACTAAAAAAGTAACCATGAATTGGTCACGGCAATAAGTCCATCCTCATTCCCTTCTACTGCTTGTGTTAAGAAAAAATATGTATATAAACCACTGAGAAGAAGCCACGTCACAGTGCGGCGGAAGACTCCGACAGCAGTGCCAAGATGTCTAATAACGTGCGCGGGACACCAAGACAAGCAATATCCAATCACTTTTAGTCTGCGTGCAGACTTTTTTTTATAGGACTTTTATTATGAAGGGAAGCGATAATATATTAAATTCATACATATTATATAAATATTGAATGAGTAAATTCTCTAAACCACTAGTATGTCTTATACAGACTTTTTCTATTTTTTAACCCTGAATTTGGTTCCTAAGTTTTTCTTTTTAAAAAATAATAATAAAAAACAAAAAGAATTACCTCGAACTGTAAAAGCCAGTTTCTTGCTCCGGCCCCGAATCCTCTGTGCAGGTGATACGCAGGCAAACTCCCATCCAAGCAAACTACGAATATTCACCCACCGCCGCCACAAACAAAAACAAAACAAAAAACAAGTTAATAAAAAAAAAACTTTTAAATCTGTTTTTCTAAATACTCTTGGAGCTGGGTGAGATTGAGAAGAAGAAACTTACAAGCTCCGAGAGCCGGAGCGTTCCGGACCAGAGTCATGCCGACCAGGAGCCGCCGCTCGGCGGAGTAAATGCACCGAGGCGAGCACGTTAGCAGAGCCAGGGTGATGGCGACCAGTAGCGCGTTCGCATTCGTCGTCGTAGTAGCCATGCGCTCTCTCTTCAACTTTAACATTGAGTTTTCATGGCCATAGAGAGATATATAGAGTTGGGATTGGAAAAGGCGGAAACTGTGACTACACAAATACAATGACTCTAGTTGCTAAATTCATTGTAAGAAATTTATAAAGAAATTTATTTCGTAGCTAATCTCGGGCTTAATTTAATTTAATGAGAGAAAACTGACGTGTGTTAATTGATTGTTAAGACGGTGACGTGAATCAGTGCTATTTTTTTGGCTCTGGGAACATTGAGAAACCGAGAGAGAGTAGGAGAAGATTTGGTTTAGGTAAATATGGAGCGAAGCAGCTAGTCTAGAGACGGAGAAACGAGTTGGAACTTGGAAACTTGGAAACTTGGATTGGAGGAGGTGCTCTATAATCCAACTTGGGTTGGTTTTATGGGGCCCACCGCCTAAACTTATTTAGAAAATGGGCCTAGCGATGGCTAAATGTATTATGACTTCACGGTGAACCCAGACCCAATTGGGTAACTGGGTTGGTGATGAATTATTCTAACCCACTAGCCTTGAATTTTAGTCACTAATTGGTTTGTCCGTGACTGGCGGTTCTAGATTTTCAACATCTCATCAAATTTATTTTTTATTTTTAAATATAAGTGATAGTCTTAAATGATAGGGAATTAGGGTTTTTCACACATACTACCTAAATGACATGGAAATTCGAATTGAAGACCATTGGTCCGCAACATCTCACAACAAAATTTAGTTTGGATCGATTTGGTTATGGGTCCAATTGGAGTTTTGTGCTATAATTTACTTTTTTAAAAAAACAAAAATGAAGTTATTAACAAAATGACATCAATATGACTCTAATTACATGACACGTTGTTGTAAATTCTGAGCATAGCAACTTTCATTGCGTCACTAAAACACCCAAAATGGAGGTTGAAATTATAAAAAAACCCAAGCACTATTTAAACATATAAACATACCCAAAACTCATAATTACACACACTCAAAACCCATTTATAAACACACCCAAAAAGTTGACTTTGGGGTTGATTTTGGGTGTGTTTCTATGTTTAAATAGTGCTTGGGTTTTTTTATAAATACATGTCTAGGATTGGGTTTATTTATAAATTTGTATTAATTTTTATGGTGTGATTGGATTATTGGGATGGTGACTAGGATGTGATATCTCACAATAATGCATATTACTAGACGTGTGATATGCAACTAGCATAACATAATTCATATTGCATTTAATTTCCTTTCCATAATGTTATTTAATTGCTTTAAATTAGGATGGTGACTTATTCGCATTCATATCAATCAAGTCACACTCCATTTCTTATCTATTATTTATAATGCTTAGGGTTGGAATTTTCACTCAACAAATCAGCTGACCCAGCCCAATTTTTTGGCCCATAAAACCGCCTATTTCAATGTCAGTCACTTTTTAAACCCAATTGAAAAAGTCTCGAATGTCGAAGCGGTTCCAAATGTCTAGAACCGTCAAGTTAACAAGTCTCAAACTCTTACCTCCAACTTAAATACTCAACCATTTACCACCACACCAACTTGCTTCCTTGTTTAAATATTATATTGCGAATATATTTAATGGGTATTCATTTGGATAAAATTAAAACAATATTTAATTATTAGAGCATTTCCAATAGATATGTCAAATTGTCATATGAACGTAAAATAAAATGACAAATGAACATAAAATGACAAAAATTAAAGGTTAAAGTTATTCCAACTTATACCTCATCTCTCTCTCTCTCTCTCATGTCTTTTCTCTTTCGTTATGTCTCTCTCTAGCTCTCATCCTTCTCTCTCTCTGCAAAAATGGATTGGTACAAGGTTTGCTGAAAGATTTGCCTTGACGACGCTGGCAAGCTTCCTTGACAATGGCAGGACCGAGATCGACCGATACAGACTCCGAAATGATAAAAACTGAAATTTGGCAAACCGACGACACGCGATGCAGTGACGATTCTATTTTTGAGCTATACTGACAATGTTGGTCGATACTCGGATGCATCAAATCGATTCGATACCCCTAATAATAATTCTTGGAGTCTCAACTCTCCTGCAATAAATTTTGATTGCTTCCAACCTTACATAAGTTTCTCTTTGGCATATACCATAGTTGTTTTAATCTTGATTTAAAAAAAAAAAGTATCATCAGTTTTTATTTTCTTCCTATAAGTAACATTATATATATATTTTTATCTTTCAAATTTTATCTAATCGATTGAAGTAGCAAGCTGGCGTCATTTTCAGCTGTGGAATTAGCTCATGCTTCGATATTGTATTATTTTCTTCTTAGCTAGCTTTAGTGTTGTATTTGGATTTGTAAATTTATTAGGAAATAAACTAGATCTTATTTTCTTAGGGTGAAAGATTAATTTTAATGAGGATTTAATCATATTAACATTTTTATGCCAATAATAAACCGACTCATGAATTCAGTTATATGAAGTGCAATAAATTTTAAGTACTTATGGGAGGTGGTGTTTCAAAGGGTAATACTGGAAGCATTTATATATAAAAAGTAAAAAGCAGAAAATGGTAAAACATTCGGAATATCAGAAAATGTCTTTGGTTAATGCAAATATTAAGAATTGAAATTATTAATTAAATGAGAATAATTTGGTAAAATCACAATTTTTCATATTAAGAAAAAATAGATAATGAATCCTATTTTTATGGAAGATAACTACACCCATTATCTTTTTTAATTATAAAATAAATAATTTCTTTTTTTTTTTTTAAAAAAAAGCCTCTTACAATCACGGAAGCACTTGCGAAAAGACTAAAAATAATAAAAATAAGATAGTAAATTTTTTTTTTTAAAAAAAGCAATCTATACAATCAACACGTCGTTGCCCTTTCAATCCAGAGTAGACCCAATATGCCAATCCAGCAATTGCTCTGTTGTACCCCCAACAAGCCCAACCCAAATACGACAACAACATAAGATGTAGACCATTATAACTTAACAAAGCATTATAATTATTATTTTCTTTTCTTTTTTTGTTGATCAAATATAAATATTATACTTCGACCGTTATAATCAATAATTCTCTAATAAGAATGTGGAATATCCCAGCATAAAAAGGAAGAAAAATAAAATCTCTAATAAGGATGTGAAATAAAAAAAAGGTTAGAATGTGAAAATTCATATTGCAATCCAACCCCTGTATCACATGACATGGCTGAGCAACAATGTAAAAAAGAGTTAAAGTTATGGGGCCAAACTGAAAATTAGAAAAAGCTGTTTCCCATTGTATAGCTCCGAGAAAGGGGACCTGCTTAATCAGAGAGCAAGCGTTTTTCGAGCTCCTCCAAGTCCAAGGTTAGTCCTCCCGCCACCCTATTCAACAATCTATTATAAACTAAAATTTCTCATTCCAGTGTGCTTATTGTCTCAGATCTTTAGTCTAGCTATGCTTGTATGTAAATTGCTTAAATTCTGTGTGTATCTGGTATTAGTTTTGCATTTGTTTGTTTGTAAGGTCTAGATTTTTAGTTTTGTCAATTTACTGCTGATTGTTTTTATCTTTTGCGTTTTGTAAGAACTGTCTGGTTGATGGGAAAAAGGAAGGAAACGAAATGAAAATTTGACATTTTGAGACTCACCCTTTGGCTGGTGGCTGAGACAATTGGGGAAAAAGAGAAGAAAATGTTAAAGTTTTACACTTTTGTTTGAGATTGGTTTAGGGTTCAAAACGGAATTGCAAAAATAGTCAATTCAACTTGTCCAACTGTTGGTGCCAAGTACAGCTGGGTTAGGATTTTGCAAGAAAGCGATGCAAAACCAAGTTTTTAGATTTTAAAATCGTTCCCTTGTCCCATTGCTATAGAATGGTGTGCTATATATGATTTAGAATAGGGATTCCATTCCATGTTGTTTTAGAGAACTTGGAAAGTAGATAATAAACTCTTAACATTTTTCTTTTTTCATTATTGTTTTGCAGGTTGCATGGATTTCTCTGCTCAAGTGTCAGACGGAGAAACATTGCAACTTTGGTTGCGAATGCTGTGACTGATAACGTTTTTGGTATGCATTAAAATCAAGTTTGAGATAAAAATTGGAACAAATTGCGTGTTCAATTAGTTATGGAGCCCCTCTGGAAGCTTTTGTATTTGCTGGAGCCTGCACCTATTTCTCTAATTGTAACAGCAGTAGGTGTGACTTTTGGATCTGCATTTCGCGCTCTTAATTATGGGAAAGAAATGGAGAGAAATCGTGATTTATCAGAAACATCAATTACATTAGATAGGTCCCAAGCTCTCATGATCCCAGTAATGAGCTCTATAAGCTTGCTTTTGATGTTCTACCTGTTCTCTTCTGTCTCACAACTCCTCACTGTATTCACAGCCATTGCCTCTGTATCCTCCCTATTTTTCTGCCTATCTCCTTATGTAGCCTATTTGAAGTCACAATTTGGTTTTTCTGACCCGTACGTGTCAAGGTGTTGTTCCAAGTCATTTACACGAATCCAAGGGCTGTTACTGTTCTTATGCATTGGTACAGTTGTTGCTTGGCTTGTTACTGGACATTGGGTATTGAACAATTTGTTGGGCATTTCCATATGCATTGCATTTGTGAGTCATGTCCGTCTTCCGAACATCAAAATCTGTGCAATGCTCCTCGTCTGCCTATTCGTATATGACATATTCTGGGTTTTTTTCTCCGAGAGGTTTTTTGGGGCGAATGTCATGGTATCAGTGGCAACACAACAAGCTTCAAACCCTGTTCACACCGTTGCAAATAGTTTGAGTCTGCCTGGGCTGCAAATGGTAACAAAGAAATTGGAATTGCCCGTGAAGATTGTGTTTCCCAGGAACTTATTGGGCGGACTGATTCCTGGAGGAGCCAGAGACTTCATGATGCTTGGTCTCGGTGACATGGTATGACATCCTTTTTTGTCAATGCAACTAGTGTAAGTTGCGCTAAGTATTGATGGCATGTTGCTTTTGATTTTTGCAACAATGCACTGCCCTGATGCATCCATATTTATATTTATAGTTTACCTTGCGAGATTATGAGTCTACGGACTATAAGCATTTTGTGTTAGTCGTTAGATCTAGAGTTAGTATTTTTACACAATCATCATGCATGTTCCTTTCTGGCTAGGTACTTATGTCCTGGAAGTCTCAAGCAATTTAAAATTTTATTTTGTTCATGTTTTATTGCAGGCAATTCCTGCTATGCTTCTGGCATTAGTCCTATGTTTTGATCATCGAAGGAGCAGGGATTCGATAAACCTGTTAGAAATGCATTCCTCCAAGGGGCACAAATATATTTGGTATGCCCTTCCCGGATATGCCATTGGACTGGTTACTGCTTTAGCAGCTGGCATTCTGACCCACTCACCTCAACCTGCTCTTCTTTATCTTGTAAGTCTTTTTGTTGTTTTTAAAGTTTATTGCTATTGTCTGCTATTGTCTCATGAGAGTTGATGGATGTTGCCGCTTATAAGGTTTAGTTCTTTGGTAAATCGTACATTTAACATTAAGGTACTGACAAAATCATACCAAAATTGCATTGGCAACATTTGGTCATGACTAAGAGAGTTTACCATCGGGCTTCTTTTGGGTTGTTTTAGTTGTTGGAGTAATTTGATAGAAGATTTGATTGCACCTCTTATTATTGACCATCTCTTTTTAACTTTTCCTGCTATTGGTCAATGTATGTAGGTGCCTTCTACGTTGGGACCAATTGTTTTCATATCTTGGATAAGGAAGGAACTAGCAGAGCTATGGGATGGACCCTTGCCAAACTCGAACGATAAAGCTCACCAGATAGAAGTATGAGCCACTTATCATTGTGGTCTTGCACCAGCTTAGTGCTTGCTTGCAGACCAAATTGAAAGTTGTACATTCACTTGGAATTGGAAGTCCTATATTCCTACTTGAAAAACCTGATAGGAAATTAGCAATCAGTGTTAATGTTCTGAAATCTGATACTTCAAATGTTCCGGTTCCAATTCTTCGACATTCCATGTATGGAAGGAAATATATGCGTTGATCTTGTCATTCCTGATTACAAAAATCTCTTTGAAATAAGAAATTAGATATTTTCTTGGTAAAAACTGATCTGATCTAGCAGATGTATCAAAACGTTGGAAATACCCATTAACATCCGTTCCCAACCTTAACCTCAGTGGTTCCTGCTTCATTGAATTGGACATAATGCTTCTCTATGCATTTTGTGCAGAAAGGGTATAATGAGGGCTTAAAGTGAGGAGGTTATTTGAGGAGGTCAAATCTCACCATCAACAAATGTAAAGAAATTATGGGACTTAAATATTTTAAATGTTTTGACGGTCGGATCGGTCTCTTCAAATAACCTCCTCACTTTAACTGCTCATTGTAGAAGCTCCCCATTTTGTGACCAACCCATGAGTAGAAGGAAAAGAAAGAAACGAAGGGCCTAAAAAAGAAGTTAATGGCTTCTTTTGAGGAACACTTTTCATTTGAAGTTGGGCTGGCTCTGTTGCCGGACCCGTTGGTCAAAAAAGTTCACATCATAAAAAGGCCCAAAAAGATAAGCAACTGAAAAACGACCTCGTTTTGGAAAACGACTTATCGTGTTTCATTCTAGAAAAAGGCAGCCCGAAACGACGACGCGGAACTGTTTTCCCAGCAAACGACATCCTCTACAACCCCTCCCTTTCCTTCACTTCTTTGAATTGAAACATTTCTTCTCTCTCTCTCTCTGTCTCTCTCTCTCTATTTGCAGAGAGTTACTCAGAAGAAGATGGGAACTTCAGTCCAGGTAACACCGTTGTGTGGAGTGTACAATGAGAATCCATTGTCGTATTTGGTGTCAATCGATGGCTTCAACTTCCTCATTGACTGTGGTTGGAACGACCACTTTGACCCCTCCCTCCTTGAACCCCTCTCCAGGTCTCTCTTTCTCTCTCCCCCTTTCTTCAATTCAATCTCTTGCTTTCTTTTTTACTTGCAGAGTTTCAATGGCTGAATTTTGTTGCGCAGGGTAGCGTCGACAGTAGATGCAGTGTTACTCTCACATCCAGATACACTTCACCTCGGTGCGCTTCCATACGCCATGAAACAACTCGGCCTCTCTGCTGTCGTTTACTCCACTGAGCCTGTTTACAGATTAGGTCTTCTAACTATGTATGATCAGTACCTCTCACGCAAGGTGAAATTAATTCATAAGCATAATATTCTGCTAATTCAAAATTGTATGTATTTATACTCACCATGTATTTGCGTAAGTTTCTGACTGAGCTGAGATTTATTAAAAATTTGCAGCAAGTATCGGATTTTGACCTGTTTACGCTGGATGATATTGATTCTGCTTTCCAAAATGTCACCAGACTAACCTATGCTCAAAATCATCATCTTTCTGGTATGCCCATTATGTATAATTCATAATTCATATGCAAAGTATTGGTGGAATAAATATAGATATATTAATGTATATAGTTTATAGGCAAAGGAGAGGGAATTGTGATCTCACCCCATGTATCTGGGCATCTCTTGGGTGGTACTGTCTGGAAGATAACAAAGGATGGAGAAGATGTTATATATGCCGTGGACTTCAACCATCGTAAAGAGAAGTAATTATCTACTCTTCTTTCAACTACCCTTGACAATTCAATTTCTTATATGTGTATATGATGTCTGGAATAAAGAAAGATGATTTTGAACTGCTTACTGCTGTGATTTTCATCAGGCATTTGAATGGAATTAATCAAGCATCCTTTGTGCGCCCTGCTGTTCTAATAACAGATGCCTATAATGCTTTGAACAATCAGCCTTATAGACGCCAAAAGGACAAGGAATTTACAGGTACGTTACGAACAAGGAATTTTAGCTACCTCAAGATTTTTGTCTTAAAAATTGTCATCTGCAGTAAAATTCATGTTTGCTTGTCTTCTTTATTTTCCTTTTTCTTGTTGGAGAAACATGCATGGAATGAACAAGTATTTATACTTTGTGAATGAATGAGGTTTTGTTATTCTTAGTTTGTATTTTATTTTCTGGTTATTATTTAGATACCATAAAGAAGACTCTACGATCTGATGGAAATGTGTTACTACCTGTTGATACTGCTGGCCGAGTTTTGGAACTTGTTCAAATATTGGAATCGGTTAGTAGGGGAGACATTTTTTTTTTAAATTAAAAAATTTGTATTGACAACACATAAGTTTTGTCTTGTCAACTATACTACAATGATTTATATTGGTTCTTCCATTAATTGCAGTGTTGGGCAGATGAAAATTTGAACTATCCCATCTTCTTTCTAACATATGTTGCATCTAGTACAATTGATTATGTTAAAAGTTTCCTTGAGTGGATGAGTGATTCTATTGCAAAGTCATTTGAGAAGACACGGGAGAATGCTTTTATTTTGAAGTAAGTGGTCTCATTTACTATATATGTTAACTCACAACAATTTGAAATTTTGAGTCACTGACTTTAGATACTATTGCAAATTACTGTTGCTGAACAATCACTTACTAGGTATGTTTGCTAACCCTTGCAGGCGTATCACACTTTTAGTTAACAAAAGCGAACTTGACAATGCTCCTGATGGTCCGAAGGTTTACAATATATACATTTTTGGAGTATTTTATCTTTAATTTGCCTACTAGTTTGAATGGCATTGACATATACATCACATACAGGTTGTTTTAGCATCCATGGCCAGTTTGGAAGCTGGTTTCTCTCACGATATATTTGTCGAATGGGCAACTGATCCCAAGAATCTTGTGCTTTTTACAGAACGAGCCCAGGTATAATTCGGACCTAGGTTCTTGACATAACTATCCATGTATGGCATTTAATGTTTTTATTAAAATCTATATTTTACTCATATTCATTTCTTTTTTCATTAATATGTACCACACATTGACATCTTGAGCTGGTTATGTAGTTTGGCACTTTAGCTCGCATGCTTCAGGCAGACCCGCCTCCAAAAGCTGTTAAGGTTACCATGTCCAAGAGGGTGCCCTTGGTCGGAGAGGAGCTAATTGCTTATGAAGAAGAACAGAACAGAATAAGAAAGGAAGAAGCTCTAAAGGCTAGTCTGATTAAAGAGGAGGAATCGAAATCTGTGCAAGGGGCCGATGTCAGCATGAGTGATCCAATGGTTGTTGATGCTAGTAATACACATTCTTTGCTGGATGGTAGGTGTGAAAACAAATTGCAATTGTCTGCTAATCTTTTGAAGGGTTTCTAAGCATCCGAGAAACCTTCTTTAAAGGAAAATGTTCTATTTGGAATGAACATCAAAGCATTACTAGTCCTTTGGACCTTTAAAATCTGAAGCCTTCCAGCAAGTTCGTTTCATCTGCGTTTATAACTTTTGTATGTAATTTATGGATAAAGTTTTACTTGGGAGTCGTTAAAGTAGCATATACCCGTTTTTTTTTTTTTTTTAATACCAATTT